ATCTGTTGAGAATTTGTGGAAGAAATTAGTCATTTTGGTTATATCACATTAGGCAAAATTATTACCTTGTTATTGTGTTTATTTGGAGATTTAGTATGGCTGAAGGAAATGTGATAAGGTGTCAGGTTGACCAGGGATGGTTTTTGGTGGTCAATCATAATGGTCAACTTGACTAGATTGAGAAATGTCCCGGGAATTCTGGATGTGTCTGTGACAGTATTTCCAGAAACAAACTTACCTTCTATGTGGATTGCACCAACCAATAGGCTACAGTCCCAGGTGGAACATGAGGCGAAGAAGGAGGAAGCCCCCCAGCAGGGCTCTCTTTGTGCTTCCTACTGCTGCGAGGCCACCTTTTCTTTGCCACGCCACGCCCCTGCTCAGCCCAGAAACAGCACAGCCAATTGAACATGGGCTGACAAGATAAATCTTTCTTCTAAGTTGATGCTCCCACATATTTTTTCACAGTGACAGCAAGCTGCCACACCATACTGATCTCATATTTGTGTTTCAAATTTTACACTGTCAAAATATTTCTTGAGGGCTTGTGATATAGCAGTGACACGGCACCTGTCTGGGAAGCTCAAGGTCACAAAATTGATTCTCAATACAAGAAAAAAAATCTTGATATGGTAATTTATGCAGAAAACAATTTTAGAAATTAGATTTCAACAAGCAAAAGATAAGAGAGTCCGTTTTGTAGTAGGTCTAAGAGGCAAATAAAATGACTGATAAAATAAGTGTTATGATCTGAGCAACCAGATTTGAAAAATACACTCTTAACACTGGATTTTATTTTCAGGGCCTTCATATGGGATAAAGTATAAAAAGAATGAGACAGCTGTACTTGGAGGAAATGTGGCTATTTACTGCAATTTGACAACCCCAGCAGATGTTGTGCAAATTACCTGGCAGAAGATCCAAAACTCTTTGCCACAAAATATTGGGACTTACAGCAGTAAATATGGAGAAAAGATTCTTCCGCCATACATAAACCAGCTGCAATGTAAAGTCATTGAACCCAATTCCTCATTCCTAACTCTCAAAGAAGTGACACTTGAAGATGAAGCTTGCTACAAATGTCTGTTTAATGTGTTTCCACATGGCAGTCATGGAGGGCAAATCTGCCTGAACATTGTAAGTATGTGAAGGTTTCTATATCATCAAATTATAGGGAAAGAATTCATGGGGTTGTGATATTTTAAGGTTGGTGGCCAGAGAACAAATTTTAAAGAATGGGAGAACAGTAGAAATTATTCAGGCCAGGTCTTTTTATCATCGAGAATTTTATAAAAGAAACTAATGATAATCATGTGACTTGCCTTTTATTTTGTTATTTTTTTTTGCAGAGTACAGGGTTTTCTCCCCTGTCATTTAACTTTATACTGCATTGTGTTGGCTTTCCTTGAGTGGGTAAAATTCAGGAGGAGAATTAGCATTTCCTCACTGAAGAGTTGATAAAAAAAAAAGAGTTGATAAGACTGAAGAAATAAAAGGAGACAGTAGAAAAAGAAAGGAAAGATGAAGATCCTATGAAAATAAGGATTTCCCATTCTTCAGAAAAAAGTAAAATGTTGCAGTGTCAGTGAAAAAGGCATAAAGCTTCCTTATGATGTTGCTATCCATTTAAATTATTAAGGGTGTCAATAATGTAATTTTAAGGTTGAATGAAAGTTGAGAAATCAATCGTTCCTTTCACACTGGAGGGCCTGTCAGGAGTGTGTCGAATGGTATTGTCAGGTTTCATAAAATTCAAGACATTTTTAATCATATAACAATTTTGAGAAGTCTTGTCTTTAACAGCATAAGAATTGGTATAACATACTTTTAATTTTGTTTTTCTTTCTCTCTCTCTCTCTTTTTTGCCTCAGCTGTATCTGAATTAACAATTGAACTCCAACTTGATCCTGACTCTGATGGTTTTCTTAACCTAATATATTCAGCTGTGGGAAAACCTGCTGCTCAAATCTCTCTTTTCCCCTCAGAAGTTCTAATTAACCCTCCTGAGGAGTATTTTGCTCACAACCCAAATGGTACAGTTACTGTCACTAAAATGTACACCATCTCTTTGGAGACTGTGAGGTCCTTGGGATTCCAACACCTGATCCTGAACATGTATCACCCTTCAAAGAATGAGGAGAAGATTGTCCCTCTCTCAGCAAAGCAAGGACATAAGTAGAAGTGATAACACATGAAGGGGAAATATTTATCTTTCTTTAAAATTCACTACCACAGGTGTCATACTTTTTTTAAACCAGTTTTATTATTATGCTCCTTAGTATTATGTTCTTTTTATTTGTCTTGTTTAGAGTTTCCTAGACTTCTTGATTCTATATTAGTATCTTTCATCACTTTTGGAAAATTTCTGGCTCTTGTCTCTTCAAATGTTACTGCTATCCTATTCTCATATCATTTTCTAGGACTCTAAAAGTGTACTATATGAAAATAATTGTTAAATTAGACAGTAGTATACAGAGCTCTTATTTTTTCTCATGGTTTTAAATGATTTTTACTTGCTTGTACATTATTGTATTTTACTGCATGCTGGATCTTGAACATGAAAAACTGAGGACATAATTAAGGGCATGAGATTTAGGGAGATGACAACAATATTTACATGTAGTTCACATATAAGTTGCATAAAACCAATTTAAAACAGACAAATCAATGTCTTTAAGGTATTTATAAAGTTTGCACAGCCATCAGCCAATCAACTATGGAATTTTTTATTACCCGCAAGTATATATTCTTTCTGGAGTAAATTTTTTAAAAATTTTATTGAGGGACAAATAGCAATGAGACAGTTTCAAAACAAGTTAGTAGGACAGTTACAATAATTAATACATTACATATTGTTGTCTTTGTGATAGTTATTCATAGTACAAGATATAGGCATGATATCCTGTCCAAATGCTTTTAGTACAAATCTTTCTTCTCATTGGATTAAGAGAAAGTAGCTGTATATCTATCCTATTTTGTATATAAAGATACAAAATGGTCCTTCATTTAAATCCCCCTTTTTTGTTTAGTTTTGTCAGGGATGGATATTTCATTGCCATTTAAATATTGTAGGTGTGTGAATTCAGAAAAATAATCCAATATAGTCCAGTAGTCCAAAATAGTAGTGGTTTATCCATAGGACTATGCCCATCACCGGAGGAATGGATGAAAAAGATGTATTTTTATGCCATGGAGAATTACTCAGCTATAAAGAATGATAAACTCGAAGACTTCATATATAAGTACATGCCACTTGAAGATATACTCATAGGTGAAATAAACCAGATACTCTTGGGGTAAAATTTTTATTAAGAAAAAAGCCACATAATATAAAGTTTACTATGTGGACGCATGCAGCACAGTGGTTGCTAATGTTCTTATAATCCTATACAATAATCACCTAGACTATCTAATTACAGAATGTTTCTATCACCACAATAAAGAGCTACTGTTATAGTTTGTGTCTATTTGTTCCCCCAAAGCTTCATGCAGTCACTGGGGTGGCTTCTAGAGTTTGTGATTAATTTATGATCCAATGCAAGGATTATGACTGTGAATGCTGCCCACACCCTGGGTGGGTAATTTGCATACTGTCTAAGGAAGGGAAAGAGGCTTGCCGGCTGCAGCAGCTGCTGCTCCCCCTTTGTTCTTTGCTGTTTTCCACGGCCATGAGTGGCTGCCCCTGCCGTGTGCCACCCTGCCTTGGCACCAGCCAAGTATGGACTAAAATGTCCACTAACCATGAACTAAATAAACCTTTCCTTCTTTCATTTTGGGTGTCAGATATTTTGTCCCAGCAATCAAAGAAAAATAACTGAAACAACAGCATAACTATTGTCAGTTACTCACAAATGTAATAAACAGAAATGAATGATTTTTATCATCTTCTAGTATATACTAGTTTACTTTCCTTTTTGTTCTATTTTGTTTTTTGAGATAAGGTATCACTATGTAATTCAGGCTGGCCTTGAAGTCACTCATCAGACTGTCCCCAAACTCATGGTGATATTTCTGCCTCAGCCTCCCTAGCACTGGCTGGGACTGCAAGCAAGTACCACCACACTAGGAAGTCTGCTTTCCATTTTAATGGATTTAGCTATTCTGGCTGTATATAAGTAGACTGATAATATAAATGACATTTGTTTTTAGCTTCTTTCATATAACAGGTTTTTCAAGATTCATCCAGTATATAATATATTTTAGTGCTTCATTTTCTTATATATGGCTACATATATATGGTTACAAAATATTCTACTGTATGGATGCATCTAGATGTCAACTAAACACAACCTTATATTATCACAGAACATTTCATCAATCTCTGAGTTAAAGACTTTCTGGTGTGAAATAAATAGTGGTCTGAACAATTCTAACACAAAATGAGACCACTGTAAAACAGTAGAATGGGCCCACAGAAATTCCCCTTCCATTTTCAGCCTCTCCAGGGTGGTACAACCAGTTTCAAGTAGGGATCTGAACTCAGTGCTTTAGAATTAGAAAGAAGTGGTTCTGGTGATGCAGATAGTCATGCTAGCAGGTCACAGGCTCTGTCTTGCTGTCCAACAATGCTCGTGTGTGTGTGTGTGTGTGTGTGTGTGTGTGTGTGCGCGCTCGCGCTTATGGTTGCACCATTTTATTAACTGTACCTAGCCATGCTTCTTCCCTCAGACTTCTAGAGTACGTCTTCATTGTCCTGACCCATCCACTATTGCTCATGAGAAGCAAATGTCAATCTGATAAATTTACTAGTAGATTTCACTGTATTTTTTCTTTGGCAAAACATAATTTTACCTTAGTTCTATTTTTTTGTTGTGTGCTTCTTTATTCATTTCATCCTTTAAATAGACTTTTGTTGATTTCATTTGATCATGAGACCCATGTCCTTCAATTTTGAATGTTTTCTGATTTTTTTTAAGAATCTTCCTTTTGTTCATCTGATTTTCTTCCTATGAAACTCATAAAAATGAGTTTTTATTTGGACTCAATATTTTTCTTAATTTATAATATTCATATCCCTTATAAAGATTTTGTAAAAAATATTTTTAAATTCTTTCATTGAATTCTCCTTGCTTTGCCAATAATATTTGAAATTTAGAACTGTGTTTTCAACTTAAACTTAAAATTGAGTTTTTTCATAGCTTCTCTTCCTATTTTAAGGACATAATATACATATTCTAAAATACATCTAGGGACAATACTTTGGAAATAATATCATTATCTTGTTTCTTTAACTATCTCTCCTTCTCCCATTTTAGCATTATGTTTCTTTTGCTCAGACTTCTCATTTGCATTATGATCTTTCTTTAGTGTCTAGTGAATCTTTACTGGGGTTATGGAAGTCTGCAGCTTGTGGAGATGGTGGCTTTTGTTTGTGGACAGCAGGTAGCAAGTACACAGGAAAATCCAAAGTTCAAAATGTGAAGGAGCCCTGACCCCTATTGCTTAGCTAGTCCTAGTATGTTGAAATAATTACATAGTTACCTCCACATATTTTGCCTGAAAACTAAGCATATGGATTTCCAAAGTTGGGCTTTAAAATATGGAAATGAATGCTTTTCATTGCAGCCCAATTTGCCTCATTTGTCCTCAGAGTTCTGCAGAACTCTTTCTTGGCAGGTGGCGTCTACCCAACATACTCAAGAGGCTGAAGGCACTTTAATCAGCACCTTCGTAACTCTTTCCTCTGTCCTCTTCTTACTTTTAAAAGTTTTTACTTCTTTTTAAAGTTTTTTTTCATAGTTTCTCATCATTGAAAGTTACTCTTCAGTATTACTATTTTACATTTAAAACTTTAATTTTATTACTATAATTTTAATGGAGTTAAGAAGATTAAACAAATATTTGTGTTAATTCTGTCTTTTGTGCAGTTTTCATTTTATGAAAAAATAATACAACATTTCACAACAAAGTAATAAGTAATAACGATAGTTAATAACCCGTGTTTCATTATCTTCAAAGTAGTTAATCAAAGTACAAGACACAGACAAAAGCTTCTCTTTTATAAAGAAACAACAGATACCAAAAAATTTTCTTTTCAGTGAACTAAGAGAAAGTGGAAGTATAAATGTCACAAATTCATACATATTCTAAAATACTTTTGAAAAATAGAACAGGTAATTTGGGAATTATTTGCACTTATTCTTACTTCCCATTTATTTTCTATTTTGCTCTCTCTCTTTCTCTCTCTCTCTCTGTCTCTCTCTCTCTCTCT